GCAGCATCAAGCATGACCATTGGCCAGAGCTTCTATGGTCCCTCTTGGCCAGGTTGCTGCCTGCTGCTCATGCCCCACGAAGTTGACCTTCATGCCCCACATCTGGGGAAAAACAACTTTCTAGGTTCTGAGGGTGGCCCCCAGGGGTTGCTTCTGGTCCTGTATGTAATTGGGCAAAGCCTCTTGCCAGGGCTCCTGTGGACCTTTCCAGCTCTGTTCCTGCCTGCTGCACTTGTGCTTCCAAGGCACCACACGTGCCCTGGCTCTCTCTGGCCCATTGTAAACCTGGAGTGGGAGTGAGCTCTGCTCTTCCCTTGGCTCCATTTCTCCAGGGGTTCTTGCTTGTGCAAAACAGCCTGTGCTTGGAAGAGTTCCAGGCTTGCAGCCCCATGAGGAGCTGCTACTTGTCAGCACTTCATGTGGGCAACACAAGCACCAAGCAGGCACAGGAGTGCTTTTCAGGAATCACTACTCAACAACCACAGCAGAGAAAGTTTTGAAAGACAAAAAGTGTGGTTCATGTGTTATCAAGGTGTGTCATAATTTGGAAAATACCAAGTATTACTCCTTTTCTGTGTGACTGTAACCAATCCTTATTCTCCCTGTTCAGGAAAAGGGGACTGCTTGACCTGTATTCATAAACCCAAATTGTTTCAACTTTTACATCGAAAGTAATATATGACATTGTTATTGTTCTTCCTCCTCAAAGGCTAAAAATCAAAACAATTTTAAAACAGAAAAAAAATAAAGTAGGAATGCTTGGGGGTTGGATTTTTCAAATGCCAAAATACAAATTGATACATAAAAAACACCTTACCAAACAGAGAAAATCACATTCTTAAAACTTCTGAGGTTTTTGGTTTTTTTCCCTAGAAGGAGTCTTCTTTGTGCATCAGTCAGTTATCTACTTTCCTGTGTCTGGTAAAGGTTAATACTTTTTAGATAATTGTCAGTGTTTTTTTTCAATATCAATTACATATTTTCAAGACTGTTGTATTATCTGTGGTTTGACCCAGTGTCTGGGTCTCTGACTTGAAGGAAACTGGGTTCACCTGGCACCACTTCTTTTGGCTCCAGGCAGTTCCATTGTTTGGGTTATTCTATATGGCAGGCTCCAGGAAGGATGTGTGGTCAAATGAAATATGTCCTGTGACGGAAATATGCCCTGTGATGTTTATAGACCATCTTGTTCACTCTCTCCAGAGAGAGCCTGGGTGAAGGACACTCACCAGGAAGATAAACAGCCCATAATTCAGAATATTCCAAGAAACTCTATGGGCAAACTTGCCTGGAAAGGTGGAGTTCATAGCAACTGTGTTGGATACAAACTGTGCCCTTAACTCCTTGCCACACGAGATGCATGAGTGAGAGAGAAATCTGTTTTCCTCACACAGTGCCACCAGCAAATGGCTCTACACAAGATGTAGGGGATTTGCAAAATTCTGTCTTTGACTTTGCCAGACTTCAAGTGATGGTTTTCAAGCTAAATTGGGGATTGAATTAACCTGCTCCTGGCTACACCTGCACATTGTGATAATGCTTGTGAACATCTGCCCTGAGAGACAGAAACATAAACTAAAATTCTGTTTCCAGTTATATCCTTTCTGTTGGAAGCAGCTTTTTAGCCATTCCCACACATAACCTTCACATCCTTGTTAAATTTTGGGATGCACAATAGTCAAGATGACCCTGCACCAGTGCTAAATACAGAAGGGCAATCACCCCTTTTGACCAGCTGGTTGTGGTGTATTTGGTGCATCCCGAGATGGGTTTGCCACTGCTGACTTGTATTGAGCCTGCTGTCAGCCTGCAGCCCCAGACCCTTTCCTGTGGGGTTGCTCTCCAGCCCAATTCATACATGTGGAAAGTATTTCTTCATGCCAGCATTTGTTCTTGTTGTTTCATGCCACTGGTGATGGCTCAGTGCTCCAGTCTATCCAGATCCCGCTGCATGGCCTCTTATCCCTTAAGAGTCAACAGCACATTCCAGTGTAGCATCATCAGCAAACTCCCAACTCCTGTCTTCAGATAATTGGTAAATATATTTAACAGAACTGTCCCTAGAACTGAGCCCTGAGGAACAATGCTAGTGACTGACCTCCAGCAGGATTACCTACAACCTTTTGAGCCCTGCTCTTTACTCAGTTCTTCACCCACTGAACCACGTACCTACTCACTTTGGAGTCGGATGGCTTGTCTAGAAAAATGTTGTGAGGGACAGAATCAAAAGCCTTAATAAAATGAAATCCAGAAAATCTTCCTCCACTGCCTTCCCTTCATCCTATAGGTGGGTGACCTTATGCTAGAAAAATATTAAATAAGTTCTACAGGACTTTCCTTTGTGAACCCATGTTATCTGTGCCTGATGATTGCCTTATCCTCTAAAGGCCTATCAGTAGCACGCAGTATTATGTTCTCTGTAATTTTCCCAGGCACTGAGACTGGGCTAACAGGTCTGTAGTTTCCAAGGTTTCCCTCATGCCCTTGCAAACTGGAATAACACTGTCTTCCTTCCAGTCAGCAGGAACCTCTACTGCATAAAACCACCAGGTTCCAGCAACATACTTGCTGAAGTAGCATAATTGGCCAACTGCACAACAAAAAGGGTGCTTGAGAACATCTAAAAATTCTTGTTCAATTGTTGTAATGGCACTATCCTTGTAATACAGCCTTCTGTGAAGAACATCTGGACAACTGCATCATCTAATCTTTTAGAAAGCTGAAAGCCTAAACTTTCTGTGAGTTTAGGCAAGTATGGTGTCAAGGTCAGTGGGAGATACACTCAGAGAGTCCACTTTTTATTTTGCTGACAGACAGTGAAAGATTAGTCTCGCCCATTGCACAGCGTCAGATAACAGAAATAAGGTATTCAGCTTCAGATCAGACTTTCAGCCACATTATTCTGGCAAGTATGACAGGAAAGCAGACATCCCCGTAAACAATTCAAGGTTGATATTGCAATGTTCAGTAGCAGGGGCTTCAACAGCTCTGTAATCTGCAGCTGGGCATGAAGGAGCATCGTGACAGAGTCTATCAAATATCTTTGGTTTCAGGTCCAGTATAACAATGATTTGGGCTCCATATTTGTTTATTGTTCATTGCATTTTTTTAATATCTCTTGTGACATTTCTTAATGAAAGACTGGAAAACTCTAAGAAGAAAAATTAGTGTCTGCAATTTATTCAGCTCTTGGAAGAGCATGGGCCAGTTCAGTCTATAGCTCCTAGTATTTTATTTCAAGTTATCTGCAGTAGCTGCAGGGCTCAGCTGCCACTTATTGAAGTTTAAGCTTATACTTTTCTGCCAAAAGTCTTTCCTCCTCTATCCGTCCTATGGCTGGCCTTTGCTCCAAGCTCTCTCACACCACTTTATTTTTCCAGTTACTTCCATTTTTTGAACTTACTGACATATTATAAATATTTCCTCTTTGGTACTTAGAAGCTTGATCCCTTTTCAGGTGGCTTGAGAATGCTTCAACCCTCACTCTTAATGGTATATTATATTCAGTTGTATGTCATGCATTTATGTATAATAGAAGGATCACATATATAATTGCCAAGTCATAAAAACACTGGTTACTGTTGCTGTGGTTATTTACTCTTAATTTTACATGCAGTGGTTAGAACACCATATTTGAAAGTTTCCATCGCTTCTATAATCATTATATTAGGCTTCTTCAGTCTTATTCATCTTCTCCTGTTCCTATACCTCAAACTCTTTGTTTCAGTACAACATTAAAAAGGGTTGATGTCTGCTCATGAAACTCATTGCTATTTTGATGTTCCTTTGTGGCAAACCCTGACAAAGTTATCTGAGAGTGTGATGCTCTTTACACTATATAAACCCTTAAAATACATTTATTACCAAAAGCTTTTCATTTGAACTCCTGCTATCCTGGTAGGGGTCTTCCTAAGTTAAACATGGCCTCTCCAAGAAAGAAGCTTTTCCAGATGGCGTGAGCTCATTTTTGTTCTGCGTTTAGCTTTAGTGTTGTTTCCACAGGATCTAAAGATGGGCTGAAGTTAAAAAGCAAGCGGAAGGCTAAATCTCCAGGGAGATGGAAAAGAGTGTTTTCATGAGATCTATAAATCTTCTCGATATATTCTAAAATTACAGATAGCTGCCTTGGCCAGATTTGATGCTAGCAGCCAAGAAACTAAGCACTAATTTTACATTTTTAAACTGTCTTAGAATGGGTTTACATTTCAGTTGGAATCTAGGTGACTCATAGCAACCAGGAGGCTGAGAAGAACTTGCTCCAGATCTTTGTGCAGTGCAAAACTGTGTCAGTCCACAGCATCCAGCGGAGCTACTCTGGCTGGCACCGAGGAAGTCGCTGACTCTTGCGTACTACTTTCTGTTTCTGAAATCCAGGAAAGCAACCCTCCTGGAGCTGGGCAGCTCCAAGGGCCGTATGAGAGGGCTCCATGGATCTGCCTGGCTCAGTCTTGTCTCCATGGATCTGCCTGGCTCAGTCTTGTCTCCATTTCCACTGACCTCAGCAGCAGAGTGATGGTGAACTGCCTCTGAAACAAAATGTGAATCTGTCAGCTTTGCTGGTCTGTCCATGCAAGTACCCCCGGAGACATGTGACATGATATGGGGGAAGTGACCTCACAGTTCTGAGCGCTGACACTGGCTCCTCTCTGGCATGATGAAGGCAGGATATTTTCACGTAAGCGAGGAACAAGCACGCCCTTGAATTTACTGTCATTTCCTTGTCACCCTGCGAGGCGCAGCCGACGCCAGCGCTGTCTGCAGTTGCATAAACACACACCGTCAAAGACCTGGAAGTCACACGCTGGCACAGCACACAGGCAGCGCTCCTGCTCTTGTAATTAATGAACTCCTGGCAGGAGGCTGCTGGGATCTCAGCAGCCCCCAAAGAGCACTGCCAGACTGCTCAGGGGTGGCACTCACTGAGATGAAAGACTTGGCTGCAGTGAAAAAGAAAGCGGAAGCAAACAGCAGCCTTCTGCCAGTAAGTGCATTTCTTAAGGCCAAGGCTCAGTGTTGGTGCTCAGCACAAATTGTATTTTCTTTATGCATGCTCTGCTCAGTGCTTGTCAGCAACGCTCACGGGCTCTGTGATGTTGCCTGGGTGTCCTGTTTGGGGCACAGGGCCCCTGGGTCAAACCTCAGTGCACCACAAAAGGTCATACTGACATGATGAACAGAAAAGCTTTGGCCTCCCAAGCTGTAATGCATGTACAGGCATGTGTGCAACTCCAAGAGATCCCTGCTTGAGGTTTCCATACAGTGTAGATGGTGGCATCCTCTGCTAATAATCTGGATACAGTTCCATTTGCATGAAATTCCTTGAGAGGACTCAAATTTAGGCCACACAGAGTTTTGCAAGGATTCCAAGAGGGAAATGTGAACACAGCTGGGCAAAACTGAGATAATCTACTCCAAAATATGGAGTATAATGCTGTGCTAACTCTAGGACATTATGACACCAAGTTCCTCATCTGTTCAAGGCAAATGAACTCAAAACAAGACCCAAACCCTCACTGGAGGACTGCAAAAGGGCATTTTCAAAGTCAAGCCCACAGGTTAACCCAAGGCCATCAAGGTAACTCCTTATCAAGCTTTACCTTCCCAGGCAACGACTGTCCATTTTTTTGCCATTGTAGCACCCAACATCCCACATCTCAGTCTGACATGCTCAGCACCAGACTGCATGGGGTGAGCAGGAAAATGTCCCACTGTGGTGCCTTGCCTTTGTGAAAGCTGCTGGAACACAGACAAGGTACAGTGGATTTTGTGGAATGTTTTGTTCAAATGAGAATTTCTTTGGCATAAACTCAATGAGTCTTGCTCCTAACCCTTACTTCTTCAGAGCCAGCACAGCTTTGGCCTGCTTTATGCCCCAATTTCTAACATGTAAGTTCTGATTGATACTCATTACCCCTAATAATCTGCAATTTTACAGCACTGGAGATTCCTTACTACTCATTTTAAAGTCACAGTAAACATTAAGAAACCAAATCGCCTTGCTATTTATGCTTGAATGGATTTATAGTGTTAGAAGTTATGGTTAATCTCTTATTTTCTGACCTTCTTTTCTTATATTTTGAATTTAGGAAGAAACTTTGGACAGTAGTGAATCCTATTTTGAAGTGAAAAATGGACATATGAAAGAGGGCAAAGTGGCACTAGGTAATGAACATATATAACCAAGCAGAATTTTTTTTTTTAAATTTAATTTTGAAAGTAACCCACACATTGAAAAATAACCTATAGCCCGATAACATTTTGTTCTGTCTTTTGGAGATAACATACGCAAGCAAACAGGCATTTAGGTCAAAGACTTAGTGGCTCATTTCATATCTCTCTAATGGAAATAAACAAAATATTTCAGTTTATCAAGAATTTTTATGCTCAGTATCTGTAAAACAAAAAAAAACCCCTGAAGTCGTAGATTCAGGTTTCCAAAGTTTTGTTGTTATTACAAGTATGATTGCCTTATACTGCAAATTTTAACAAAAGTTGCTATGCATTTTCCTGTAGATAGAAATGTCCTGAAGTGATTAATTTCCTAGATTTTTTTTTATCCTACTTTATCACATAACTGATTTCTTGGAGTATTTTTATCAACTGATCTGAAATTCAGACCTGTAGGTCTGTAGCCGTGCTTTTCATTTACTTAAATATGGATCAAATACTCCTACAGCAGATGATAAAATGGGCCATCTATTACTTTGATGAGAAAATAAATATTTTCTCTTCTACCAAAATCTGAGGATGCAAATAACATGTTTTGCTAATCTCTGCAGTGTATCATCTTTAAATAAGAGGGGAAAAATACTTCTGTTTGTTCAAACCACTTTATGAAATTGAAATCTTGTCAATGTACAAGTATGTATCTTAATTTACAGGAAAAAAATCCTTTCTAAAAACTGTTAAATGAAACAAACTCAGCTTTCACAATTCAGTTTCTTAAATTCACATTTAAGCACTTTAAAGATATTATCAAAGATTGGTTTATTAAATGTTCAATCCCTGAAAAAAAACCCAAAAAATTAATATTTGAATTACCTGTAAATTCTCTTGAAACATAACTTCTGGCATTCACTTTCAAAAATTAGAGTCAAGACTTTGATAACATTAATCAAAAGAAATAAAGTGCTTTCTACAGACAATCTGGGGAGATCCAGCTTCAATGCTGTGTATGCATTCTATATGTGAAAATTACTTTAGAGTATATTTTGGACCCTTTAAACTTCAGTTTTGTTATTCTTCAGAAATGTATACAGATAATACTGAGAAAAAAAATCGGTGAGTTCTAATTGCAGATATAAACAATTACAAAATCATGTTAAATCATACACTTACTAAACTTATTAATAGATTCAGAGAATTTTTTAGTCTGGAAAAACCTTTCAGATTATTGCATCCAGCCATTAGCATACCTCTGTCAGTGGTTCTGTCTACTATAATATACATTGAAAATGAAATTTTCAAATTTTTATTGTGTCTTATAAACCTTTATTTCACACTACAATACCATATATTTTAATTTACAAGATGCTGAAAAGAGCTGCAAAGCTTAAAAAAATGGAGAAAGGTCAAATTAGAGTTGCCTTAAAACGAAGAAACTCAACTTGAGGTTCATGTTCTGTACACTGAGCATTGCCTCACTGAAGTGAAGACTGTAGGATAAATCAAAGAAAGGGGAAGCTGAAGCTAAGGAAATGAGGAACAAAAAAAAGAAAGAAAACATAAGGGCACCTGAAAGCAACAGCTTACGCACTGCAGATTCCAGTTTGTATCTCCTTGAAATGTTCAGTTCCAAAAGCACCTTATCTCACAGTGCTGTTAGAGCGTTAGCAAGCGATGTTTTGACTCCCAAATACGAATAATGTCTCTTTCACACTGAAACTTGCTGCTAGTTAAAGGTGATGGAAGGTTTATCTGCCTAAATAATGATCCCCATTTGTTCTACTGCAGCTAGGGTATGTGCTGAAACCTAATGAAAGCATTGGAAAGGTGCCCATTGATTTTGAGAGATTTGGATCTGGTCCTGAAGTGCTAAAGAGAAAAAAGCTATTCCTCCTCTCCTTTCCCAATTCTAAAATAAATTGTGATTGCATGGTCATGCTGGAACACAGATATTGTGGTAACAGAATAACAGATAACATGCTTCAGTGCTTTTGGAGTGTGTATCATACCCTAACAAACACAGACACACAGAGCACAGTGCTTGCTCACTTGAATGATTTAATTATTCCTGTGTCTCTCATAGCTGACTCATGGTCCTCCTGAATTAGGGTAAGGGTAGATTTAGATCACATGTTAGGAAGAAATTCTTTACTGTGAGGGTGGTGGGACACTGGAACCTGTTGCCAGAGAACCTGGGGACACCCCGTCACTGGCAGTGTTCAAGGCCAGGTTGGATGGGACTTTGAGTAACCTGGTCTAATGGAAGGTGTTCCTGCCCAAGGTAGGGGGGTTGGAATGAGGTGATCTTTAATGTCCCCTCCAACGTAAAATCATTCTATGATTCTGTGATTGCTTGGCGTCAGCATCCTACTGCATCTCTCCCTGACAGTTTGATCCCCTGAGGGTGGCCTGGGGGGTGAAGAGAGTCTGTGGCAGCCCTGTTTAGCAACATCCCACTGACAACATGGCAGAAATAGTCTTTACCACAGATGGATCTGTGTTGCTGTTTGCAATTTGTCTGAAACAAATGACTTCATAGAGGTAAAACTCTTGAACCTCTTTTCCATCCCCTGGTCAGTGCAGGTCATAGACTGGGTTGCACGCACACTGCACAGAGACAAAGGAAAATTTTGTCTGGGTGCTCAGAACCTTTTTTAATCTTACCCACACTATAATAACTTGTCCCTGTCAGACAGCAGTGCAGGGGCTGGACAGGCTTCCTGCATTGTGCTCCCAATGTCTCCTGGCTCGGGAAGTGACAACATCTTGAACTAATTTTTTTTAAATGGGGGTTGATTTTAAGCAACATATTTTCCAAACTGGTTTTTTAAGTGTAAGTCTAATTATTTTTTTTCTTCTTTTTTCCCTTTTTTTTTTTTTTTTTTTAACCACTTGGCAGAGAAAGGAATTGCATGCAGGACCTTGAATGAGGGACACTCAGGGCAGCCAAAGACATCAGCAACTTCTGCCAGCCACCTCTGGAAGGCAGGAGCATCGCAAAAGGCTGGATGTAGGCTCCTCCATCAGCGAGCCCTCAGCCGCAGACAGGATCAGTAACCACAACCCAATCTGCTCCTCTTTCCGCAGAAAGGAAAAGCAGGCGCTTTTCCACATGGCCAGGTACGACACTTCTGGGACAAATTTGGGGTTATTTATCACCAGCGGTGAGGGCGTGGGAGACAAGTTTCATCCAAATAAAGGACCACCATGTGTTGGGACTTCAGTAGAAAGGTCTTGTGTTTACTGTCCTGCACTTGCAGGGAGAGATTTTCACTGTATTTTCTCCTCCTGGATGTTAAGAGTCATTTGAAATGATGTGAAATAATGAGTAGCCAAAGTTTCATCCCCCCCCACTGCCTTCTCACCTTTGAGTCTCCGCTTGTGGAGCTTCCTTGGCACATCATGAATCTGCACAACAGGGAAGAGGACTTGGCCTGCCCCAGCTGCTTCAGGCTTGTTGGCTTACCTTGCATGGAAAATCCAGGAAGCGCCAAATGTCATCCACTGAGGCTGTTTCGCCAGCCCCAAACATCCAAATTTCAAGAAGAATGCTCCCAAATATAATTAGAGTGGGTTAAAGTCCCTAAAATTACAGTGCTTTAGATTGTCAGTGAATGTACAATTGTTTCTTTGCAACTCATGGTCAGACACTCCTGCATGCCAAAGAAGACAAGTTTCCCAAAGGGATTTTCCTTTCCTTAGGCTTGCCTAGGGAAGTGGGATGGTGAAGGTGCTCCAAAACACCCCATGATGGTCCACACCAGTGGGACAAGACAAGGTCCCATGACAGCTCAGGTCTATCACCTACTGCAGCACTTGGGAGGGTGAATCCAGATTCTTCACAAAGGCTCAAGCTTTTCTCACTTTGTGAAATTTTCCACCTTCTTCACAGAGAGGGTTCTCTGGCTTTAGCCTGCTTTCCGTGAGGCGGGATGGGAAAGCTTCACAGCAGCAGGACATTTTATTGCTGCTTTTTGTATTTTGCCCAGACAGCATTCCTCTGACTGTGTGCCCACTGTCAATGTTTCCCTATTTCTCTTTGGTGCTTTTGGTGCTTTTGTCTTCCTGAAAAGCCAGCTCTTAAGAGTATGACTGGCAGGTAGCTAATATTTAAGCTAATGTTTAATCCAGGACTCAGTGCCAAGGACTGATCTCTACACAGAGAGATCAGATCTGGATCTTGCCCTGCAGCAGAAGAGCCTTTGCCACGTGGCTCCCTTGAGCAAAGTGAGCAGCTGGGCGTAGGTCCTGACACCAAGCCTAATCTCTCTGGCTGTCTTCCTGAAGCAAGGGGGAGCTTTTAACCTAGATTTGGTGTTTTATCCAAGGATTAGGAAACTCCTAAGAGGTATAGCCCAGAGAGCATCTTGACTGTGGCCAGCTTTCTAGTTCCAGTAAAGTTACAGCCCCACTTTTCCACATTAGTCTTATGTCTGTCTCATGTCTTGACTTCTTACAATAGGTAAAACTAGGCTGTAGTTAGTCTTAGCACCTCCACCTCTCCAACAGCTAAGCTAGAAAATGGTTGTTTTAAGCAACATATTAAACAAATTTAGTTTCAGGCTGTAAATTGCATATTTTTCATCATATAGGTTGCTTTACACTGAGAGTTTTCATCCAGGTCTGCACAAAGGAATTAGTCTGTGAAGGTCCAGGCTTTTTAGGAGTGGGTAAATTAGGAAACTAGGGAAGGGAAGTTTACCATAAACATCCTTTCATTGCAGCTGAGGTCCCACGCTCAGGTTTCCTACAGTAAAATGTTAACTACAATAACAAAACAATAAACCTTAGATTGAGCTAAGAATTGTATGTAATGTTTAGAGATCATGCATAATAATCAAATGGTACTATACCAAAATTTTGTCTGAGGGACCCTTGTGCCATTGCACCCCAACCCTTGGTTTAATCTTCAGAACAAAGTGGACAAAAGGAGCCAAACCATAAATTTTGTATTAAGAAAGAGGGGAGAAGTTTTTCAGAGGGGCCAAGAAGCAGCTAGTTCAGCAGCAGGTGGCAGGGCTTTGCTGCATGAGTGTTTCTTATGAAAGAAGCAGGATAAGGAGTGTGTTTCAGTGCCTTAGCTAGTCATTTCACAGAAGAGGTTTTCAAAAATCATTGAACTACATTTGACCATTTATTACCAAGGCTGCCACTGAATTTGATCAAAATCCCCAGAAATCTATTGGGAAACCTTCTCATTGTTACAGAAGCTGACAGGAGCACAGTCTTACACTTTCAATTTTGCCATTAGGAAAATCCGTTAAAGGATTCAGATGCCTGGCATGGGGTCTGGTAGCCTCCAGTCCTGCAAAAATATTTTACAATTTAATGCACTTTTCAACACTATGAAGTTGTAGTGATTAGCAAATACATAAGTTTTGACAGGACTTGATTCTTCACCAAGCTCTGACCCTGCTACACAAAGTACACTCAACCCTGCTCCACACTGATGTAAAGTGCTATGGAAATGCAAAGTGCTGACCAAGAGGTGAGGGTTGCAGTGTCTGGGCTATGGATGGAGAGGACATGTCCCAAGAGCAATAAACCCCACTCCTGCCTGTCTTTCCTGCTCCCAGCAGCAGCATCTGGCTTTATGCTTTGGGATTTTGCCTGTGTAAAACTGATCTGTGTTGATGCAAAAAGAAAATAATTGAGAATCTAGCTCATAGTCATATGACACCAGTACCTAAAAGACAGTTAAGCATCAAAAAATCTTAATTTCAGGTAGCCTTTTGACTTCAAAGCACATTGCAAATGGCTGAATGAGATGGAGCTAAGACTGTTGTGCTCTATGGTAAGATGCAGGACTATACTTTAATGACTTGGAAATATTTGGATCAGGCTTAGCAGTGCAAATATGCCAAGCAAAGAGGTGAAACTCAGCACACAGATACCTAGAGGTACCAGTAAGGGAAAGTCAACCCTGGGCGCATCACAGGTATCTCCTATAGATGTGTTAATTGTGGGAGTGAGGGGGCTGCAGGGGGCTTGGGGCAGAAGGACTTTGCCCTTGCAAAGGACGACCCAGTGCCCCTGTAAGGTCTCCAGCCTGAAAGGGTGGACTGTGCATACAGCAGCAGAGGTGGCTGTCCATGCTTGTCTGCAGATTTTGTGAACATTTGTTTGCCAGAGCCCTGAAATGGAATATTTATCACATGTCACTACTGCCTCTCAGACACAACACTCAGAAGCTTTTATCCAATTCTTAGTTTCCCCTTTGTTTGCATATCCTGCATGGAAGTGGAAGGTGATTATAAAGGCAAAAGTTTTTACATAATGTTTCTCTTCCAAGGCCCAAAGTGAATTCGCTTGAAAGATTCCAGTTAACTTCAACAGGCTTTGGATCAGTGTCTCAAGGAAAAGATGCAAACTTTGGTTTGCAATCTCCTGTACCATCCAGTTGATTTAGTTTGGAAAGCTAACTTGTAATTTAGCACTTAAAACATTTTAACCACTGTTTCTGAGGAATTTTAAACCTAAGCAGTATAAAAAAAATCATCACTCATGAGGAACACTTTCATAGAGTCAAGTTTTCAATTTGCATTTAAGTCATGATTTTACCAAACATTGTCTTTCTTTCTAGGTGGGACTTTAAATTCAGTAAACTGATAATTTATGTTTCCATATCTAGTACAGGACTAGAAAGCCTCCACTGATGTTCATAAAGCCTAGCCTTATGTCAGCTTTGAAGACTGTGGCAGCTTTGTTTATACTATAGTTTGGGAGAGGATTGCCTGTCTTTTCAAAATATTTTCAGCCTTAAAATGTTAATTAATGGACTTAAAAATAGATTTGTGTCTTCCTATTTCACTACAATGACTTTTTTTCTCTGTGAGACAACATGCAAAGTAAAAGTAACGACAAACCTACTTTTGGAAAACATTTTCTGAGATAAAAAGGTAGTACATTTTTGAGGATTAAAAAAAAGGCACTCATTTAAACTTATTATAGTATCATTGTTACAGACACAGTCAATGTTTTTTAACAAGGGCTTTCTCTTAAATGAAAATGAAACCCACAATGCAATAATGAACTGGAAGAGGATTACCTTCCAGAATATCCAACAGTTTTCAGCTGCACAGTACTAACTATTGTCAGTGTGCTGCTGACTTAAGGATTTGAACTAAATCCTTTCAGAAGATAACTGATTTTTCATTATATGTTGCAGAAAGTGCATCCTTGAGATGCACTTTCTTGAGATGCATCCTTACAGACTGTTTTCTATAACTGGAGAATCTGAACAAGATTGCTATTCTAAACCTTTCTTCTGAAGCCATTTCTCTTCTTTCACCTTATCTCTCTGAAGTGTGAGAATGTTTTTTTCAGTCTTTGCACATCTACCCTACCTGGGTGTTTTACATGAAAGTGATTTTCTCATGGGATAGCTGAGGCTAGAAGTGACTGCTGGTGGCCCCCAAGTCAAGCTTTGCTCAGTTCAGGGCTAACTCCAAAAGGAATTCAAGTTACTCAGGGCCAGATCCCGCTGTGTCTTGAGCTTCTCCAAACAATGCATCTCCAAGGATGAAGCTTTCTCTCTCTCAGGGCTGCGCCACTCACACAGTGGATCATTTTCCCCCTTACATCCAGCATCTGCCTTGCTGCAAATCTCAGCTGCTGCTTTCTGACTTTTCTCTGAGCACTTCAGAGGTCCTGGCTGAATCTAACTATAACCAGACTTCAGGGAGTGAAGGACAGCAACCATCGTTCTTTGCCTGCTGTTTGTGCCAGCTCAGACAGGACATCACCTCTTTGGTGGGTCAGTGATGCCAGTTGCCCACACAGGTACTTCTCAGACACTCAGACACTCAAGACACTCAGTCTCAGACACTCAAGGAGACTGCTGGTTCTGGTATGCACCAAAAGCTCCTACAGCTCAAAATCCTAGGAAGCACCTTCCTCTTCCTGACTCCAAGGGTATTTGCATGTCGAAATGTTAGTCTCTACCACCCTTGCTGTCTCATCTGCAGATGTTTACAAAGTCTGGGCTATTGACTCCTACACCTTAGTCCCTTTCTAAGTGTCCCTCAGGTGTGTTCAAAGAGATAGTAGAAAGAATGGACAATATGGCAAATTATTTACCAAATAATCTGAGGGTTGAAGGTTTGAAGACTTTTTCCTAT